AGGTGCCACAAGTACTCCTGTTCTCTTTTTGCGGATACAGACTAACACGGCTGCTACTCTGAAACCTGACCGACAGAGAATACCTGAGCATGTAACATGAGAACCCAGGAAGGGGTTAGAGGCCAGGTGACACCTTTGCCCAGGAACGGAACAAAGGCTGTGGGAGGGGTCGCTGAGGGGAGAGTTTCAGAAGCTGGCTGGTGACATGGCTCGGAGGCAGACGGGGCTCTGACCTCCCAAGGGGCTAGGGTACTCTGAGACCCCAAGATGGACCTAACTGAGGGGGTCCTGTTCTCTGTGCCTGCAAGACCGGTCTTGGACTGTATTCCTGTCGTCTAAATAAACCTTCTGCTTTACTGGCTGGCTGAGAGTCATGGTGAATCGCAGGAAGTCGGAGGTGCAGGGCCTTGTGTCCCCCCACACTCTGTGACAATACAGAGTGGTGCTTCCAGTGTATAGTTATAGATCACCTTGCTATCATTTGGGGAATGCAGTCTTCTAGATCTGCAATAGTCAGTTGACTTGGAACTCTTCTGCTCCGAAGTTCCTCCCCTGGTTGTTGTGCAGTTCTCCAGGTACAACAAACCATGAGATAAAGCCATCCACCAGGGCCTTAGTAACTATTGTTGCTTCCTTTTAGGCAAGGAAAATTTCTGTGGCCACTTGACAGCTAGGGTGAATCAATTTCTCCTTTCAGTTACTGAGGGGCGTCTCAGCAGGATGATGGCTACTCACTCAGTTTGTGCCCCTAAATTGTACTGTTGTATCAGTGCCCTGGATCTTCCAGGGGCCCCCATCCAGGTCACAGCTCTGACACCTTAAAACCTGTGTGAACTAGGATGTTCTCCAATGGCACTTGATATCAAGCTGATGGTTGATTCCCCAAGGTTGCTCCATTAATAGCTTAAATGTAACTGGTGCGTGATGCATCACACAATACAACGTCATTACAGTGATGAGCCACAAGCCCAGGCCTGTGGGAAAGGACTCGCACAGGTAGACTCTTCACACTCAACTTACCAATACCTGCTTTGGAGGTTCAGTGAAAAGAACCATCGGGAGCTTGCACACATCATTTGAATATGTGTAATCAACACAGCACTGTGCTGTGCCATCCTTCTTGTCTATCAGTACCATGGGGGACCCTAGCTTCAGTTCATTTCATGATCACCACTCCACCTCTCACACCAGGGTAGTATCAGCAGTATCCAAAGGAATGAGACAGGACCACACTAACTAACTAGCTAACTAACAAAACCCCCACCTTGAACTGCAGCCTGAGCCCTCAAACCACAGTGCCCACCTTCCCTAGAGTTGGCAGGAAGTGGAACTGCCTCCCAAAACAACACTTTGTTTCACTTTTGAGTCCCCATCTTCTCTCTTAAACCAACAACCCAGGGGAAGCCCATCACAATATTTACAGGTACAGCTTTACCACCAGGCAAGGTGCGGAGTCCTGAGACCCAGCCAACACTACCCAGTGTCCCCAGCCATGTGAGCTCAGGGACAAAAGAAACTGCTGGGAAAAGCCAGCCCTAAACTCAGCCAACTGGAGCAGAGAAAAAAGTAGCGGAAGCAGAGACATGGGGCCACTGACTATGTCAACGGTCAGTGACTGGTTTTCACAGGACATTCTTTCCCCTCTTCTGATTGATTGTTTGCTCCCACTCCCTCCCTCAGAGGGTATGTCTTAAGTACTGAAAAACCTGTGTAGCCAAGTGTCAGAGCTTGGGTCAATTGATTTACGCTCACAGGGCTCAGGCTGTGAGGCTAAAAATAGCAGTGTAGATATTTGGGCTTGGGCTAGAGCCCAGGCTCTGAAATCTGAGGCCAGGCTCCAGCCTGGAAATCTGCACTGCCATTTTTAGCCCCTCAGCCCAAGTCAATTGATCCATGGTCTGAGACTTAGTGCTGCGGGTTTTTTTTGGCAGTATAGACATTGCAGTGTAGACATACCCAGTCTCTGAACTTCAACACCACACCACATGGCCTCCATACTCCCCCTCGTTCTTTACTCCTTTCTACCTTCCTTATCTCTTCTTTCAGCTAATCCCTTCCCAACATACCCTACCCAAAAAATTCAAATAAAAACAAACAAACAAACAAACAAAAAATCATGCAGGTAACGTGACATTTGCAAACCATCACATCTGTTCATTCTGTTTATGTGCTGCATCCTTTCCCCCAATCCTGTATCTGTTTTGTCTATTTAGACTGTAAGCTCTTTGGAGCAGAAACTGTCTCATTCTCTATGTTTGCTCAGTAACTAAGGGACCGCAACCAAGAGTGGGCCCCCAGGCACTACTACAATATAAATAATCTCACACAGTAATACATACAGAAAGTAAGAGATCAGGGAGTGGATTTCCCAAATTAACCCTGATGATCTTCTTTTAGGTTTGGGGAAAATACCTGTGGCTGTTAACTTTCTGCTCTTCCTTCACTAGCTCAATTTCCAGGTAAAAACATGGGTCTGTTTTTTATTCTCCCCTATTATTGCCAAACCTACCTGCTGCACCTTGACATGGCTGACAGTCTGAAGCCTGGATAAGCCTTTCTGCGG